TTTTTAGGTGTCATTAATCCACTTCCCATTTGAGAGATCTTGTTGTCCTTCCTTGCAGATATTGGATAAAGTCTTCGGAATTGGTTAGCGAGACTCCCACTTCCACACCAATTATCCCATAAAAATTAAACTCCCACTCCTTCTCCTACCTTTAGTTTCAACCCCTCAGCTAGCCATCCCCATTTTTCATCATCTATTACATTCAACCTGACTTTTTCTTCTTCCTCTTTGCTTCATCTGCCACCTCATTTGTGATCACAACCCCATCCATCAATTGTCTTCCACTTATGAACGCCATTTGTTGTTCCCCAACAACCTTTTCAATTACCTTCTTGAGTTGGTTAGCTAATAGTTTTGCTAGGATTTTGTACATAACTCCAATAAGGGATATGGGTCTATATTCCTTGATCCTCTACGAGTTGTCTACTCTTGGGATAAGGACAATGAGAGAGGTGTTTAGCCCTTTCACCAACTTATTGTTTTTATGGAATTCATGTATGAATCTGATCACCTCATCTTTTGTAGTTTCCCACTCACTCTTGACAAATCTAAAATTGAAGCCATAAGGTCCTGGTGCTTTCGAGCAATCACAATCCCATACTGCTATCTTTATCTGAATTTCATGCAGTGAGTGAGATATTGTTTTCCATGGAAATTTGATTAAAGTGCACCCCTTTTAAACTTGGCCTTTCCCACCACTCTTCAATGAACATGTTCTCAAAGAATGAGGCAATCTTCTCTTTCATTATTCCAGTGTCCACTATTTGGGCCTCTTTTATTTGTATGCTATTCATTTCATTTCTCTTCCATCTATTCTTCACACAATTATGGAAGAATTTTATGTTGGCATCCCTGTTGACCAGCCATGCTTTCCTTTATTTTTGTTGCAACATGCTTTCCCTATACTTTATACCATCCCATAGTGCTATGAAAGCTTCCTTTTTTCTCTTAATTTCCTCCTCTGAAAGTTGCCCAATTTCCCCTTTCATATTTGTCTGAGTAATTACTACTGTAGCATTGTTTATTTTTTAATCAAATTAGGAATAAAGTTTTTGCTCCAGTTCCTTAATGCCTCCTTGGTCCTCATCAATTTTTCTTTGGGCCAAAATGCTGCCCAGCCTTGAATTTTTGTGTTGCACCACACATCTTTTACCATCTCTTTGCACCCTTTGTGCTTTAGCCATACATCAAAGAATCTAAAAGGTTTAGGTCCCCAATCAACTTCTTGATGTCTAAGCAAAATTGGGCAATAGTTAGAAACTGATTTGCATAATCCCTACTGTCTCGCCTCACTCCACTTGGATAACCATCCATTAGACAATAAAACTCTATCAATCTTGCTCATGAATTTCCCGTTGGACTAGTACCAAGTGAATTTCCTACATATTAGTGGTATATCATTTAATTCCATTTCTTGAATAAAGCCATCAAACTCTCTCATTTCAATCATCAAGCCTCTACTCCCTACTTTTTCCTCCACTTTTCTAACAACATTAAAATCCCCCACAAAAAC